AAGAAATGCGGCGGAGCGAGCCGGCAGCACACCCATCGCCATGTCTGAGGGGGCTCGGCCCCAGCCCGCCCTCCCCGGGCAGCCCCCGTGTGCCGATTTTGGCTTTCTCCTCTGCCTCCTGCCTGGGGCATGGGGCCAGGCACCCGTAATGCCCTGTGCCTGGCTGCCTGCAGGTGCCCTGGTTTGCCAACATGGGAATTAACGATTTATAGCAGAGCTGAGCACGCTGAGAATGCGCCCGCTCACGGGACGGAGGCTCGAGATGCAAGAGGCAGCTCTGGCTGCGCTCACTCCTGGGGCAGGCCAGAAGCAAACCCAAATCCTGCCGGATAACTTTTTCTTTTTGTTAAGAAGAAAATTCAATACAGCATTTTTATATTGATCTCCTAGTTCCGTGGTTTATCCCTTCTAGAGCTCCTTCCCACACTAACCTGTTGGCCCCATTGCATGCCACCTTCCTGGGAAGATGTTCAGAGCTCCGAGAGCACAGTGATCACCCAGAACAAAAATGGGGATGTGAGAGCTTTGCACTGGTAAGGGTCTGGGGCCTTTTTTCCATGAGGATGAGGTGATGGGGGTTTAAAAAAGATATTAAAACGGAGCAGAGTGTTTATAGCATGTCTGGCTTTAGCGTGAATAAGGGCTGCTCAGGACAGGAGGGAAGTGGGATGGGAACTGTAGTTTTGCAAGAGAGCGCAAAATTTGGACACCTGCATTTACTCCTCATCCTTTCCCAACCTCCAGCAAACACTCTCTCACATCCCAGAGACATGAGATCACATCCCAAAGATGCTGCTGTCCGAGACTTCCTGGATAAATTCAGCTCATCCACACCCAGAGTATGGAGGTGTGAAATGGAGGGGCTCAGAGCACTGTCAGGGCACCCTTCCCCTCTTGATGGCTGTGGAGACTTGCTCCCAGCTCCGCCCAGCCCACACGCACAGCTGCTCAGCTACGCCCCAAACCCCAAGGATTTTGGGCATCCTGGGACTGGGCTGGCCCCAAGAGCACAGCCAGCAGTGGTGGTTCGGCAGCTGCTACAGGAGTGACTCAGGCACCTTTCTAGGTAGGTGCAGGATCTTCTGACAATAGGGCAGGCAGGATGGCCGTAGGACAGAGCTCAAGTCCAAATAAAACCCTTTTTCAGTTATTTTGAAACTTCTGCCAGATAGTATGAGGCATCACTAAAGAGCCATAATCTACATGATTAAGTAGACTGAAAGAAAGAAAGAAATTCCCTCCACCTCGACACAAAACAAGTTTAGAAAAGCTGCGTTTCTTTCCTAGTGTCACTGATGGAGCCAGATGTCTACAGGGTGATGAAAAGTGTTGAAAAGTGGGTGGCATTTTTCAGTTGGTTTACCGAGCCGCCAAAACCAGAATTTGCACAGCCAGAGCAAACC